TTCTTGAGAATGTTCTGTTTATATCTGTACCTCATTTAAATCATTTTGTTTGTTGATGTCTTGTTTCTTAAGTTTTTTATTTGTTTTAGATATTAGACTTCTATCAGATGTGGAGTTGGAGAAAATATTTTCCTCTTCTGTAAGCTGCTGTTTTGTCCTATTGATGGTGTCCTTTCCTTATAGAAGCTTTTTAGCTTCACAAGTTCCCATTTATTATCTATCTTAGTGCCTGTGCTACCAGGATTTTGTTCAGGAAGTTGTTTCCTGTGTCAGTGTGTTAAAGGCTATTCCTCATTTTCTCCTCTATCAGGTTCAGTGTATCTGGCTTTATATTATGGTCTTTAGTGAACTGGACTTGAGTTTCATGCACAGTGATAAATAGAATCTATTTGCATTCTTCTACATGCAGACATCCAGTTAGACCAGTACCATTCATTGAAGATGCTTTGTTTTTTTCTATGTTTTGCTAGCTTTCTAGCTTTATCGAAAATTAGGTGTTCATAGGTATGTGGATTTATATTTATGTCTTTGATTTGATTCCATTGATCTATGTGTCTGTTTTTATGCCAATACCTTGTGTTTTTTTTTTAAATTACTTTTGCTTGTAGTAGTGCTTGAAATCAGGGATGGTGATACTTCAGGAAGTTACTTCCTTTATTGTACAGGATTGTTTTAGCTATCCTAGGTTTTTGTTTGTTTGTTTGTTTGTTTTTCCATGTGAAGTTGAATATAGTTCTTTCAAGGTGTATAAATAATTGTGTTGGAATTTTGATGGGGATTGTGTTGAATCTGTAGATTGCTTTTGGTAGGACGGCCACTTTTACAATGTTGATCCTACCTATCCATGAACATGAGAGATCTATCTTCTGATATCTTCTTCAATTTCTTCCTTCAAAGACTTACTCTCATGCACATCTTTCACTTGCTTAGAGCTACCCAAAGATATTTTACATTATTTGGGACTATTTTGAAAGTTGTTGTTTTCCCAATTTCTTTCTCAGTTTCTTTGTTATTTGTACTGATTATTTTGAGTTAATCTGTGTCCAGCCATTTTGCTGAAGGTGTTTATCAGCTGTCGGAGTTCCCTGGTTGAAATTTTAGTGTCACTTGCATATACTGTCATATCATCTTAGAATAGCAAAACTTGAATTTCTTCCTTTTCAATTTGTATCTCTTTGATCTCCTTTTGCTGTCTTATTGCTGTCAATTACCTATTGCTTCAATTACAATAATGAGTAGATATGGAAATCAATTTGTTTAGTATTTTGAATATTATGTGATGTCTTAGGGTGTTTATTGCTGTGAAGAGAGAATGGAAAACTTTGTCTTGTTCCTGCTTTTAGTGTAATTGCTTTGAGTTTCTCACTGTTTAAGTTGATGTTGGCTGTAGGGTTGCTCTAAGTAGCCTTTATTGTGTTGAGGTGTGTTCCATATAGTCCTGCTTTCTCCAACACTTTTATCATGAAGTGGTGTTAAATTTTCTCAAAGGTTTGTTCTGAGTCTAATGAGATAATCATGTGGTTCCTTTTCTTTTAGAAATGTGTTTGCCCTTGTGTTTGGGTCATAGATGTTAAGGACTAAAAGATCATCTAGTTGAATTTTTCCTTTGATGCATATTAAGTGTCCTTCCTCCACCTTGTTTAATTTTCTTTTGAAGTCTGTTCTGTTAGAAACTAGAACAGCTATACCAACTTGTTTCTTTGGTACATTTGCTTGAAAAATCTTTTCCCAACTCTTTATTTTGTGGTAGTGTTTGTCTTTGATGCTGCTGAGGTGTGTTTCTTGTATGCAACAGAAGGATGGATCCTAGTTTTGCATCCATTGTGTTAGTAAATGTCTTTTAATTGGGGAATTGAGACCATTGTTATTTACAGATATGAATAACCAATGATTAGTAATTCCTGTTTTGTTGTTGTTTTGTATTGTCTGGATATGTTTCATTTCTTTTGTTTTTTCTGGTGTGACACTATTTCCCATATTTTTTTGAGTGTAGTTAACCCCCTTCAGTTGGAGTTTTTCTTCTAGTACCTTCTGTAGGGCTGGAGTTATGAATAGATATTGTTTACTTTTGACCTTACCGTGAAATATCTTGTTTTCTTCATCTATGTGATTGAATGTCTTTCTGGTTGTAGTAGTCCTGGCTGGCATCTGTGGTCTCTTAGAGTCTGCAACCGAGCACATCTGTTTAGGCCCTTCTGCCTTTTAGTGTCTTCATTGAGAAGTCAAGTGTAATTCTTATAGGTCTGCCTTTGTATGTTTCTTGTTCGTTTTCCCTTGCTATTTTTTATCTTATTTGTTTTGTATGATTAGTATTTTGAATATTATGTGATGTCTTAGTTAGAGTGTTAGTGCTGTGAAGAAATACTACCACCGCAGCAAGTCTTGTAAAGAAAAACATTTAATTGAAGTGGCAGCTTACAGCTCAGGAGTTTAGTCCGTTGTTATGATGGGGAGCATGGGAGTGTGCAGACAGACATGGTGCTGGAGAAGTAGCTGAGAGTCCTGCCTCTTGCGGGCAACAAGCAATGGCCTCTATATCACACTGAGCAAAGATTGAGCAAAAGGGAGCTCAAAGCCCACCCTCATGGTGACACACTTCCTCATAAGACTGCACCTACTTAAACAAGGTCACACCTCGTAATAGTGCCACTTTCTTTGTGGACCATTTTCTTTTAAACTGCTACATGTAACATGGTTCAATCTATTTGGTATTCTGTAAGCTTCTTTTACCTTTTCAGTCATCTTTTTCAGATGAGGAAAATTTTCTTCTATGGTTTCGTTGAAAATATTTTCTGGGTCTTTTAACTGATTCTTCCCCTTCTATTTCTATTATTCTTAGGTTTGGTCTTCTCATGGTGTCCCAGATTTCCAGGATGTTTTGTGTCAGAAATTTTTTTAGATTTAACATTTTCTTTATTCAATCTAACTCATTCATGTATTCATATCTTCAGTGCCTGAAATTCTCTCCTCCTTCTTCTATATTCTATTGGTGAGGCTTGCCTCTGTAGTTCCTGTTCAAATTCCTAAGTCTTTCATTTTCCAAATTCCTTCAGTTTATGTTTTCTTTATTGCCTCTACTTCCATTTTTAGGTCTAAACATTTTATTTTATTTCTTCCACTGTTTGTTTTCTTGCTTTCTTTAAGGGGTTTATTCATTTCCATTTCAAGGACCTTTATCATTTTCATATAGTCAGTTTTAAGAACCTTTTCTTGTATTTCATTGAAGGATTTATTCATTTCCTCCAATTTATTGTAGGCCTTTTCCTTATCTTCTTTAAGGGATTTATTTATTTCCTCTTCAAGGACCTCTATCATTTTTAAGTTGATTTTAATTTGTTTTTCTTGTGTTTAAGCTATGTTGGAATATTTCCGACTCAGTGTAGTATAATAACTTGCCTCTGGTGGTAACATACTGCACTTATTCTTGATCTTACACTAGCATCTCCAACTCCAACTCTGGGTTTATGGTGTGATAGGTCTAGGTGCTGATTTATGACTATGTCTTTGTTGGATGGATATTTTGCTTTCTGTTTCCTTTCTGGTCTTCTGGGTAATGTGGCCTGTGGTTGAGCAAAGGGTCTTTATCAGAGAGGCGGTTACAGACAAGGCAATGAGGAAGGGTAGGAGGATTGGGTATAGTGTTGGGAGGAACCAAGAGAGTAAGGATGATCTCAGGGCTGGTGTCCTACCTGGAGTTTTGGTGGCCAGTGTGGCTTCTGGTTGAGCAATTGGTCTCTGTTTAAAATGTAGGGACAGGTATATAGTGATAAGGAGTGGTAAGAGGGACATCACATAAGTTGGACCGGTATCCAGAGAGTGAGGGATGTCCGTTGGCAGGTTGCCTATCACTGGCATGGTTTCTGATCAAGCAGGGGTCCTCTGCCTGCATTAAGGCCCAGACAAGGCTTCTGGAAGTAGATGGTGGATTGGTGGCAAGGTTTATGGGCACTGAGCATGTGGGGGAGTTCTGTGGGTGGGTGGCCTACCTGGATTTCTGGCAATAAGTGTGGCCTCTGGTTGAGCAGATGTCTCCACCTGAGATTGGAGTTGGAGTATAGTGATGAGGAGTGAAGGGAGGATTGAGGGTAGAGTCGGTGGGTACAATGGAGGGGTTCAGTGGGTTGGTGTCCTACCTATAGTTCTGGTGGCCTGTCAAACAGGGAGCCTCCACCCCAATTGGATATGGGACTCAGTGATGAGGAGGGGAGGGGTGTAGAGGGTAGTGTGCCTGGGCAGTGAGAGAGTGGGGTGGTCCGTGGGGAGGCTGCCTACCAGAATTCTGGTGACTGGTGTGACCTTTGGTTGTACAGGGTGTAGCTACCAAGGTTTCTTCCCTTCTCTCCTGGCGATTCGCAGGGCCGTGTGACCTCCGGTTCCCTGGAGACTCTGTACTAGCTCTGGCTTGAGGGGATAACTTAGCAAGAACCTGGTTCTCTTTGTTATGGTGATTCCACTTGTATTCAAGGTCTTAGCAGTGGGCCCATAGCCTGCCTCTACCAGCTGATCCTGCTCCAGGCACCGGGAAGACTTTAATCTTCTCCTCCTGCTTCTGGTTGGGAGGAGGCCTTGCATTTTCGATCCTTCTAGCCCACTGGTATAAATACCCGACTTGAGTTTAATAAAGTTGTCATTTACTCTGGTAAATGAGCAAAGGTCTCTTTTGTGTGTGTCTCTTTTTTAACCCTCAGGACAATCGTCCATTCTCGTGGGCCCGAGTTCGGGAAAGCGCGCAGCCTAAATCGGGCGTGGGTATCCACTGGAAAGTGCAGACTCTTACAACAGGGCACCTCTGCAGAGTTGGGAGTAGAAGGCAGAGAGTTACTCAGGATGGCAGCCTACCTGTATTTCCGGTGGTTGGCATAGCCTCAGGTCAAGCAGGTACCTTTACCAGAGTTGGGGGCTGGGAACAAGAAATTGAGTCTTGAGTTTATTTAAAAATCTTTAACTGTCAAGCTTTAGCTAAGTGTTATACAACAGTCAAATTATATTGTTGTGCCCAGATTACAACCCCCAGAGAGGCCACCAGAAACTAAAGAAGACCAGACTGCAAAAGCAAGGTTTAATTACAAGCCAGCTCAGAACCCTCATCTCCAACACTCCTTTGCAGCAAGGTAGAGTTCCTTTGTGGGGTTAGTTTTTTAAAGGCAAAAATCACAAGTAGCTGGGGGTTTTGGCATGGGTGCAAGGTCTTTGTTTTCTCTCCTATCCTGTTTAGTCAACTTGTTCTTTGTTTTTAGAAATCAGGGGCATCTTTATCACCAGGTGGCCAGGCACCCTTGTGCTTTGGAATTTCCCTGGGTGGGAGTGGGGAAGGGAAGGCCACTATCTTTCTGGGAACATAAACCTAGTCTGGGTTTCTAATTTTAAAACATTCTGCTAGGAAATTCCTTCTTATATTCAGATACTGCTCCAGTTACTTGCATGCCTGCTTCTCTTCATGATAATCACTGACTGACCCTCTGAAATTATAAGCAAGCCTTGACTGAATGTCATCCTTTATACTACTTAGTTTGTCAATATGGTTTTTAGCAGCATTAGAAGGTAATGGAAACAGTAGGTCTTCCTATCATCAGGTTATCAAGATATCATCCACAGGTCGTCTTCAGTTAGACATATGTACATAATCACTTAGAGGTGTGTCTTATAGTTTTTAGTGCTGTGAAGAGACACCATGATCATGGGAATTCTTAAAAAGGAAAATATTTAAGTGTAACATGTAGGGGCCTGCTTGTTAGGGTATCTGTCCCACCCGGTACCCCACAGCTGGCAAGCCCCAAAGAAAATCACACAGAGGACTCCATAAGATTATAAACTAATTGGCCCTTAGTTCAGGCTATTTATTAGCTCTTATAACTTATGTTAGCCCGTTATTTTTATCTATGTTAGCCACATGACTCAATACCTTTCTCAGCGGGGCAGCTTATATTTTGCCTCTCTGGTGGTCTGGGCAGAACTACAGATGTTGCTTCCTGCTTCCCAGAATACTCCTGTTCTCTTTGCTCCACCTCTACTTCCTGTCTGGTTTTCCCGCCTATACTTCCTGCCTGGCCAATCAGCATTTATTTAAAACATGATTGACAGAATACAGACAATTCTCCCGTACGAAAAAGTGTGTTGGCTCCCTTTCAGTTCAGAGTGTTAGTCCAGCATCATAATGGCTGAAAGCAAGGCAGCATGCAGGCAGACATGGTGCTGGAGAAGGAGCTGTGAATTCTTACATCCTGACTCACAGGTAATAGGAATTGGTCTGAGACACTGAATGTGGCCTGAGTATATATGAGAACTCAAAGTCCACAGTGACACATTTCCTCCAGCAAGGCCAGAACCTCTCTAACAAAACTACACCTCCTAATAGGAACACTTCCTTTGGGGGCATTTTTCAAACCATCATAAGGTGTTTTAAGAAACATCTATGATAGAAGATTCTGTATCATGTCAGTCTGCCTGTTAAGACTAGCCACCCTAATATGTGCACTGTCTTAAGAGCCAGGGACCTTGAGGATGTGGTTATAAACTTCTACATAGGAGAGTGGGCATTCCTGGAGTCTAGTTAAAAGAAGTTCTACAGAGATGTGGTTGAGGAAACATTTTCTCTCCACAGGTAAAATCCAAGTATCCTTCCATTTCTTGTTCAGTCAGAGAACAACTGTGTCCTGCTTATATTTGTAGTGGTGTGATTCGAATTCTTAAAGGGAGTATGTAGTGAATTTAGTGATCATACCCATGTCATAAGACCTAGCTTGTAAAAGTTCTTTTAATGTTGAATATGTCATAATTATTTTTTGTTTCCTTCCAGAGAAATCAGAAGAATATATTAAAGAAGGCTACAAAGATCTTGGCAGAAATATGAAGGAATTTATATTCAATAGAAAGCAATTCATATCAAACATTTTGGAATCATGGGACAACTGTAAGCTTCCAGATGATTCAAATACACCTAAGGAAAAAAATGAGTCTACACAGATTTATGTAACAGAGCATTCAATTGTGTCATTTGATATTTGAATATCTCATCTATGCAATCTTTGAGTATCGCCAATATGGGATGCAGCATAAATTTCTGGTAGAGCTGTTCTGGTGCTTTGTTTCACAAAGCCTGCCTTTTATGTCCTAAAGTAGTTACTGTCTTTCTATATATTATTTTGAGGTTTTGAATCTAAGTGCTATGTTTTCTTTGCTTTCTTTTCCTGTAACAAAAAAAAAATTCTAGGTTGGAGTTCATTTTTGCTTACACTCCCTTGTCACAGTTCCATCCCAAAATGAAGCCAGAGCAGGATCTCACGCCTTACAGGAATCTAGAGGCAGGAACTGAAGCAGAGGTGTGGAGAAATGCCGTTTACTGGTGTGCCCCCATCCCTTATTCAGCTACCTCCCCTTTTCAACAATGGCCCACTTCTTTACGGGGACACCACCCATAGAGAGCTGGGCCACTCTGTATCAAGCAGTAATCAAGAGAATTCCCCCAATAGCATGCCTAAATATCAGTCTGGTAGAGCCATATTATCCATTAATGCCCTTTCTTTTCACATAGGCATCCTTGCTCATGTCAAGTTGAGAAAAACTAACCAGCACAGTTATTGCTTGTCACTGTGACCTGCAAATACATGACTATTAATGTGTAACCTTACATGTTTATTTGTCCCTAAATCCTCTTACGATCACAATACAGCCAGATAGTGGTGATATGCACATTTAATCCCCGAATTTGGGAGGCAGAGTCAGGTGAATCTTTGAGTTCAAGGACAGCCAGGGCTACAAAACCAAAAACCAAAACAAATAAATAAGTAAATAGATTACAAAAATATAGAAATTTTTTGTAGATTTGCATAATCTAATATTAGAAATCTCCCAGTGTTCAAATTTCATGCAGTTTAAATGCTCAGGCTCTTTTACAATTCAGTATCTCTTTAAAAGACCAATAGGTCTCTATTTTCAGTTCCTGAAAAATCTTAAGTTTGTACTTCTCTTTTTTAAATAGGAAGAAGGATGAACCAATGCTGGCTTCTGTACAAGGCTTTTTCTTTTGGACCACCGATCAGCTCCTAAATCGTGACATGGAGACTACTTATTAGTGTTGAAAGCTTTACCTTAACTTATGTTCATTCCTAGCTAGCTTTTATATCTTAAATTAACCTGTGTCTCTTCATCTACATTTTGCCTTCAAACTTTTTACCTTCTCTTTCTGTATGTCCTATTCCATCTTACTGACTGGTAGCTACCTGGTTGCGTGACCCCGGGCATCTGCCTTCCTTTCTCCCTCATTCTCTCCTTTCTTCTTCTCTTCTTCATTGATATTCTCTCTCCCCACCAGCCCTGCCTATCCTGCTCATGCCTATCTATTTGGCATTCAACTTTTTATTAGACCAATCAGGTGCCATGGCGAACAACAACACACCTTTTCCTAATTAAACAAATGCAGCATAAACAAATGTAACACATCCTTACATCATTAACAAAGGTAGCAGAAACAAAGGAATTACACATTTACACAGTTAAAGTAATATTCTGCAGCACAAGCAAATGTAACACATCATTGCATAGTTAAATATTTCACAACAGACTTTGACTCAGATCAAAGTAAAACCCCCACCTCTACATTGTAAATTATGACCTCTAATCCCATATCTGCAATGCACTCACAATGTTCTGATTTCCTATGTCTCTTGCATGATCCACCCTTTTGGTTTTGCCATGCACAGAACACATAATTTGTCTGATAGTCCCAAACTCACTCCACTCCTCAGTTGCTTCAGTCCTTAGAAATGAAAGCCTTTCCGTGGTACTATCCTCTCTACTATGCCATAGGCTCAACACATTGCTCCTTCAAAAATGGCCTAGCCTTTCTTCAACCATCCTAACATATTGTGCCAAGTCTCAACTTCTCCAAAACCACTTCTATCCGGATATTTCCAATTCAACCAAACCTACACCTTCAGTACTGGCCTCCCATGGCCTTTGATGGTGTTAGTCTCAGTTTCTTTCCAAGACTCCTGCAAACCAGCAGCTCTTATGATGCCAACAGCACTATTGGTGAGGAAAAAAGCTTACAAATTGTATTCTACAGCAAACTTGAGATATAAGCTTGGAATACTCTGGACCACATGTCTATGCACTAACTGAAATCCCTTAATATTTCTCTTAAATGATGCTGTTTTCTTGTTAATCCCAGATCATTCTTTAAGACCAGAAGAAAAGAAAGCACAGAATCTTTATGTAAAATATCACAGAAACTGCCTCAGTAGAGTTTTGATGTTGCCTCCATCATTCCTGGAAATATATAAGCCAGACTTCCATTTTTTCTTTATTCCCAGCATTCCTATACTCAGGGTTCCAGGAAAAGTTCATTATCCTCTGAGCATTTAATGATTTTTCCAGTTTAATGTTCCAGGCATTCTCCCAGTCCTCATTAAAACTACAATGAGCTCTGATAGCAGTACCCTATGAACCTGGTAGCAAAATTCTATTGTAGAGTCTTCTCTGTTCCTGTGATAAACACCATGACCAAAGTCATATTTTGGAGCAGTGAAGCTTATTTTGTCTTACCCTTCAATGTTACAGATAGTCCATCCAGGGAAGGCAGGGTTGGAGCTAAAATTAGGCAGGAAACTAGAGAGCAGAACTGAACAGAAGAATATGGAGGACTACTGCTTACTAGCTTGCTCCTCATGGGTTACTAAGGTACCTTTCATATAAACTCACACCCATTTACTCAGGGACACATTACTCACCAAAGAATAAGCCCGCCCTTATCGATGAGGAATGAGAAAATGCTACCACAGCCTGGTTTCCAGGTCAATCTCATTGAGCCATTTTCCCAATTGAGGGTCCCTATCCTAAGATGACCCTAGCTTGTTTTGTGTTGATAACTAACTAACCAATACAGGGTGAGTATTTAGAATGTAAAAATGCCAGTGTTTTACTACTTTTTGTGATTGTTATGATTGTTTCTTAATGCCAGGACCTTTGCCTTCATGGTCACTCCTTTTACGTTTATTAATTATTTTATGTGTATGTGTGCATGTGTGCACCACCTTTGCAAAAAACATGTGTGGGGGCCAGAAGAGGGCAGCAGATCATTCATATCAAGAATAACAGGAACTTGTGAGGCCTCCACAGGAATGTTGCCCATCAAACTTTGGCCTGCTGGAAGAGCAAGAATTGTTCTTAATCCCTGAGCCAATGTTACAGCTCCTTCATAATTCTTATAGAAGTCAACACTCTACTCCATTACACATGCCAGGGTCTTTATTGTAGTCCATATTGTCTCTAACATTGGTGGCATTCTTCTGTTGTTCCTGAGATAGTATAGTTGCAGTGCTTGACACAAGCCAGCCTCCAACATTTCCTTTGTTCACAGTAATGCTCTTTTCAACTTTTGCAGAACTCAAGTAGTTTAGAAAGACCATAGAAACAAATGTGAAAATCAGTGTGATGAAATTGGAGAAACAATCACAGAGAATATGGTAAATGAAGACATGCCTCCCTCAATAAGAGTGCATGAAAGCTGATTGCATGTAAGAAATGTCATTGTTCATTCATCATTACAGGTGTACCTCAAAAATAAACTTGGGGGAAACAATCTGAATATATAGGAGCTGTGGCAAAGACTTTTATACATCAGAAACTTTGGAAAGGTATCAGTCATTCTGAATCATTTTAAGTACTTGAAACTTCCCCTACAGAGAAACCATGTAAAAATCATGAAGCCTGTAGGAGTCTTCTTTTTGGTCAGCCTCAGGAGAGAAATCACACTGGAGATAAACCTAATGAGACTGTCTTAAGGATATACCCGTAAGGCCAGAATGATGAAGGAATCCATACAGAAGTAGAACCATTTATGTGTAAGCACTGTGAAGAATGCTTCATTGAATCCAGTGGCCTTAGCAACCATGAGAAAAGTCATGTTAGAGAGAAAAGTTATGTTCATAAGCAATGTGGGAAACATTTAAATATTCTAAATATGTTGAAAAACAAAGTAACTCATAGAGGAAAGAAATTTGTGTGTGTAAGTGTTGTTTCAAACCATCATCAGTTCCACTTACTCTAACATTAATGAAATAATTCACACTGGAGAGAAGCCTTATGCATGCAAGCGTTGTGGATAAACATTTATCAGATACACTTCTCAATACATTAGCGAAAGAATTCACAGTGGAAGGGAGGTTTATTCCTGAAAGCATTATAGACAACTTACTGTTTCTACTCATTGTAACATTCATGAAATAACTCACACTGGAGAGAAACCCCATGAATTTACGGCAAAAACTTAGGCTCTTTGGAGGTCTTGTAACACAAGAAAACAGTAGAATGCATGTAAACATTGTGGGAAAGACTTCACAAGTTCCACTTGCCACTGGAGGCATAAAAATATTCACACTGGAGAGAATCCCTTTATAAAATGTGAAATGTGGAGGCCCATGTTAGCTTCCGCACTTTTCTGTGGATACCCAGGCCTAATCCAGGAGCACGCTTTCCTGAACCAGGGCCACGAGAATGGACGACTGTCCTAAGGGTTTAAGCAGACAAAGACACAAGAGACCTGCTTGCTTGCCAGAGAGTAAAAAAGCTGCTGTTTATTAGACTCAGGTCGGGTATATATACCAGGAGGCAAGAGGGTTCAAAAGGGCATGGCCCCCTCCCATCAGGAGCAGTAGAATAGATTGATACATTCCCAGAGTCTCAGGCAGGATCAGCTATGGGGGAGGCAGGCGTGGGAGGCGTGTAGGGCCCGCAGCTGCAACCTTGTTTACAGGTGAAATTACCATAACAAAAACAGCCTTGTTCTTTCTAAGCTCTCCTCAAGCCAGTGCAGAATCTCCAGGGGCCAGAGGTCAAACAGCCCTGCGAAATGCCAAGGAAGAAAAGGGAAAAAGACCTGGGTACCTACAGGCCCAAAAGTGTGAACCCATTTCCACCTTTTCTGAAGGTCAGAGAGTTTGAGGTTGCTTACAATTGTTGACAACAACCACGGCTACACATCCTGACCCAGGATGTGATTATTCGGCTCATACAGGTAGATCCATGCCACCCTGACAGATGGTTTGGTAGTCACTCTCTTTTGTGTCCTGCTTGTCCCATTAGGACAGAATATTGTCAACAGTTGAGCCAATGGTACTTTCTTGCCATGTGGCTTACTTTTGCCACAAAGAAAACAAATCCAATGTGGAGTTTCTTCAATGCCTATCATTTTCTCTGAAGTAGATTAGTGCTTCCAGGAACTGACATGTCTCATTGTCATAAAAAAGGCTTTGGAGCCTTTTTGTGACAATGTAGCAAGACTATTAGCCACAGTTTGCAAAGGTCAGGTGTACCCAATAGGAATTCAAACACAGTACAAATAATCTGAGATTAATTGCTATGGTTGAAAAAGTTTACAATCTTTGCCCTCATGCTGCATGCCACCCCTCTTTCCATGCTGATGGATGGGGCTCCTGCAGCCTGCCCTGGGCATTGTCAGCCTCAATTTCTGTCCCAACCTGCCTGCGATTTGACTCCATGGTTACTAAGCTATGGCACCCTTGTTGTGACGCTGTAGCCAGGGCTGCAGCATGGCACCCCGTTTCAGCTCCACCAGAGATGCTTTGTTCATTCAGATACCATGGGTTATCAATATAATTTAAAGGGTTTGAGTGCTTCATACAGGTACAGGTTTTTATGTGTTGATGCAAATGTAAAGTTATTTGATTGTATTTGGTTAATTCTGTTTAAAAAGTTTAGTTTGTCTTGTTAAAAAGTTTTTTGTCTATTTCTCGAGAAGTTGTGTATGCTTGTTTTGTTAGAAGTTTTGTCTGGTGTGTTCATGAGTTTTGTTGCAAGCATGGAGCTGAAACACAAATGGTTTGGATATTTTTGCTGTCTCTGACACACACCATTGCTGTGGCCACATTTATGGGCATGGCTCAGAATTTATTTCTGCACTTTGGACACTGGATTCGGGTTAATAGGAATTCACACGACTTTTTGATATAGATAATGTTAAAACTGTTTTATGTTGTTCCTTACTTAAAAGCTTTCTCCACATTTGGATTATATCTCTTCCTTTGCTAGACCCAGGCATACTCGTTTAAAAGCCTTCTCTATGTCACCCTGTCAGTCTGAGCCCCTGACACCGTGACAAGGAAAAGAAAAAAAAAGAAAACAAAGTAGAACAATCAAAAAAATTTTGGACTTGGTTTATATGAACATTCTCTACTTCAAAATTTTTACTTCTATTTTGTTAAATATGGTTAAAATCTGTTAAAATAAATCTATTTAAAAGTTAAAACTAGTAACACTAAAAACTGGTCATTTAAACTCTATGCATGGGCAACTTTAAAGGAGCCACATGGCATGATTCCAACTTGGATTGCCACCATTTTTTAGTCAGTTCACATGTCTGGTTGCTGTTTTGTGGTTTTAAAAAGTGGCTGTCACAGGATTTCACCAGCATATTGATTAGAGATGACCATGTAAAGTGGGTCTGACTAGGAGAAACAACAGATTTCTAAGATAATTTGGATTGCGATAGATTTTTACCTTCATGTCCTGTCCTAAAAGCAAGGTTTAAAACAACAACAACAAATAAGATTTAAAATATTAAATCTGTGCCCCAATGCTTTTATACTCAAAAATGTACTTTGTTCTGTCAAATAAATTTTTTAATATAAAAGTCATCCAAAAGATAATGGTTTTAAAGACATTAGGAAATCATAGGAAACAACTGAGGTTTGCAAACATATGGCAGGACGAGAGTCCCACGGAGAGTCCAGTTCCAAGGATGAACCTTCACCTTTACAAACGTCTATGCCAGGTGATGGTCACCAGAAGCACCAGCTACAGTGAAATGGAGCAGGCTGAGACCTAAAAGGCAGACTGTGTATATGTTGTTGAGGATGAGGTCAAAGATGTACTTTATTTTTGATATTGTGGGAAGACATTTAGGATATTTTAATTTTTAAAGAAGTTTTTGTTCTTATTTCAAGACAATTTTTAAAACATTTAAGTTTATAGGGACATTTGTACTTATAAATGTTTTATATTGTTAATACTTGGACTTAAAATAAAAGGCTAAAAATTAAGGTCACAGCCATAGCACCAAATACTAACAAAAAACTTGGATGTTCATTTCTTGTAATGCAGTAAGGCAATGACCTAAGCAGTCTGTCAAAACGGTTTGGAACAGTTTCTCAGCCCATTGAGCCTTGACCCTTTGGTGGAAAAAAAAAACCTTATTACAGAGGTAACCTAGAACCACCTGCATGTCAGATGTTTGCATTAAGATTCATAACAATGACAAAACTGCAGTTGTGAAGTAGCAACGGGAACAAGTTTGTAATGGGGAACATGGAGACCTGTATTAATAGATCAAAGCATTAAAAATGTCTCTCCTCTGGTGTGGGAGAATTGTCTGTATTCTGTCAATCATATTTTAATAAAACGCTGATTGGCCAGGCAGGCAGTATAGGCGGGAAAGCCAGACAGGAAGTAGGGGTGGAACAAAGAGACTGGGAGTATTCTGGGAAAACAGGAAGCTCCCTCCGCCACTTCTGTGCAGACCACCAAAGAGGCAGCATGTAACTTGCCCAGCTGAAAAAGGTACCAAGCCATATGGCTAACATAGATAAGGATAATGGGGTAATATGTGTCATAAGAACTAATAAGTAGCCTGACCTAATGGGCCAATCAGCTTTATAACTTATAGAGATCTCTGTGTGATCTCTGGGACTTGCCGGTTGTGGGGTACCGGGCGGGAACAGATACCCCAACGAGCTGGCCCTTCATGCTACACTCCTCACTCAAGGTCTATTCGGACTTAAAAATGTATGTCTAGCCTCCTTGCCTTTGCTAACTTTTGCTAAACTTAAGCTATTTGGATAAACTGAGTCATAGAAATATTTTATGTTTCATTAAAAAGAGCTTCAATTCAAAATCATTATTTTTAAAGCTAAACCTGATGGGATGGAATGTAAAATCCTAGTCATATAAAAATTGCTAGCCTAAGCACCGGACTGAGCCCCCCAAGGTCCAAAGGAGGAGCAGAAGGAGGAAGAACATGAAAAAGCATATCAGAACAGCAAGGGGAGCGATCACCCACTGATACAAGGCGACTGATCTAATGAGAGTTCACCAAGGCCAGTTGACTGGGACTGAAGGAGCGCTTGATCCAACCAGATTCTCTGGAGGAGGCTGGATTCTCTGAATGTGGCTGGCCCGAAGTCTTTCTAAAAAGCCATTGGCAATGACTCTGGGACTTGTTTCCTCTGCATATTCTGGATTTTTGGGCATCCAGTCTGATTAGATACTCACCTTCCTGGTCCTGGAGGGAGCGGGGAGGAACTTGAACTACCCACAGGGCAGGAAACCCTGACTGCTCTTAGGGATGGAGAGGGAAGAGGAGAGGGAGTGGGGGGAGTGGGAGGGTGTTGGGAGGAGGGGCGAAAATGGAAACTTTTATATTTTAATAAACTTTAAAAAAAAATTGCTAGCCTATTGTTGAATGTTAAAAAAATACAAATTAATAGCTATCCTTATAAATGATCAAATTCATTAATTGTGGCCATGGTAAGTACTGCTTATATAATTTAATTACAGGGATAAACCTTACTTAGTCCCCTGTATATGTTTTCAAAAGATAAGCTTAAAACAAATAACTAGACACAAAGTTATCTATTCAGATATACCTATATACCTATTCAGATATATTTAGTATACCTTAAATACTTCAGAGATCTGAAGAATATGACATATTAAATGTTGATTTAAAAACTTATTATATCAGACAGAGACTCCCAAATCCTAACAGTGACCCAAGGCCTCCAAAGAAGATTGTGGGGCACCACGATGTCTCTACCTGGATTATGATGATGCCGACCACTGGACGAGATGCCCCAATGTAACACCTGCTGCCAGGATTCAGTTCAGACTATAGACAAACAACAGGACATTGGAGAATTGATTGCACCACTTTTGCCTAGACAAAGTAAAGTCAGTCTGTTTCCATGTCCCTCTGTCAAAGGGGAAAAAAACTCTCACCATATGGGCTTTGCAAAGACTACTGTTCTGGTACTTCTGCCTCCAATGCTGTGGAAACCTGGGTATAGCTAACTGGATATGGACTGGCCCTGTTGCTTTTCATAGATTTGAAGGCTGCTTAGTCTGTATTCAGGTATAATTTATCTTTCTTTGATCTCTGATAGTGTTGATGACTGGGCTGGCTATAACTTTGTCAGCTTAGCAGTAGGCAACCAGGTTCTCCCCCAAGGCTAGTGCCAGCTTGTTGCTCATTTTATATATAAAAAGCAAGACTTAATATGGGTCTAAAAAAAGGTCTGAGGATATGAAAGCTTATAAGCTTTAAGGGTCTCAAAATGATTTGAGATGTAAAAACAAATTATAAAAATATAAACAAATAATTTAAGATATAAAAGAGTCAGATGCTGGAGTGAAAATGTGCTAACTCAGAGAGCCAGGGAGAGGATCCAGCTGTTTCCTCCTCTTACACTGATGCCACAAAGAGAAAAGACCTTACTCCAATGCCATCTCAAAACAAAACTTCCCCAAGTAGACATCCTTCTATTCTACTTCCTGTGCTTATCCCTCTCCATCTTCCTGACTTATTCACACTGTCTATGGATTTTTTTGGGGGGGTTGCTTACTCCATCTCCTGACATGTGTTTGATTTTAATTAATCCTGTTTATGATAAACAGAAAACTCTTGGTTTAGAGGTGTGTGCTAGGACTGATCCACACCACAGGAAGAACAGGTTTTTCCAGCAAACAACACAATCATGGGGTTCATGGTGTGATCAAATATCCTGCAACACAAAATAGATACAGATAATGGGATATTGGCTCATCCCTAGTACTTGAGGATTCCTTTCTGGTCCTATTCCAGGCTCCAGTGCTTGAACTCACTTGGGACCTTATGCTACCCAAAAGTTCTGATTTTAGCCAGTCAGTGGCAGTTCATGCATTTAATCCCAGCACTTGGGAGGCAAAGGCAGGCAGATCTCTGTAAGTTCTAGGCCAGCCTGGTCTACAAGAGCTAGTTGCAGGATAGGTTCAAAAGCTACAGATAAACCCTGTCTCAAAAAAAGGCAAACACAAACAAATAAAGAAGTCCTGATTTTAACCATTAGAGCAAGAGTTAGGATGTAAAGAGCAAACTTAAGGCACCATCTTTGTAGAAAGCATAGGTGGGAATAAAGAAAGGATTAAGTGGACCAAAATCCTAGAGCATGTTGTCTTAGAAAAAAATGAAATCTTATTTTCCAGCGCCAGCAGTTGATACAAGGGGAATTTCTTTGTCCAGTGGCTAATTTTGCCACAATGAAAATAAACTCCCATATGTAGGTTCTTTGATGCCCATCATCCACTTTTGAAGTAAATTGGTGGTGCCAGGAGCAGATATATCTCACTGTCATAAAAATCCTTAGGTTATTAAAACATCTTAAATGTCATATTCTGTTCATAACTTTGAAGTGTTTGAGGACCACCTATATAAAATATACCTATTTGACCTTGAAAACATCCCTAACATCACTACAAGTTTGATTGTTGTAGATGACTATGAACCTGCTTTTCTTAATTATTTTAAATAGTTTATAATAATAACTTTCAAGGGCTAGAAATGTACATTGCATTGTTAAATGACCTACATATGGAAACATATACACAGTATAACAAAAACAACCTTAAATTTATATCAATGTACAAAATCCACACCAATGTAAAATATTTCAGACTAGAAGCTGGTTTTTAGTTTAAAAGTTTAGTTGATTTTATAACATACCCTTTTATTCTATCACTTTAATATTTCCCTTTTTCTTTTTAGAAAGAGATTCCTGAGTCCAATTTTTCTTAGCATTCCTCCAGACCATGACCTACATTGTACTTGCCCCGTGAGGTGCAGGGTCTGCTCTCCCAAGTGCTGCAGCTGGTGGGGGCAGGGACAGCTCTCCTGCTCTTGGGACTTCATAGCCAGCTCTTCCACCTGCTCCAGGCCTTGACTGCCAGAGAGTGACAGGGGAAAGGGAGAAAAGAAGGGCATCTCTCTCCACCCATGTGGAATATATGAGGGGTGGGGCTGGGTCTCCCATGCTCTTGTCCTCAGGGTTGGTTCAGCTGTGCTCTCATCAACAGGGTCATCTCTACTGTGCTGTCCAAACAAAGTGCAGGGCAAGCTTGCTTATGTGCTGCTACCTGGTCAAGGGGTCAGCTCCTCCACCATCTCAGCCTTCTCCCTTCCTCTCTCATCACTTCAGATATGCCTCTGTCCATAGAACCTGAACAACTTTCTGCCTGTCTGTCTGTTTGTCTCTCCCCCAAAGGCACCATACTGTACCTCTGCTCACTCTAATGGTGCCCATCTGGCTGGTGCTGCAAGTTATTCGGTAGACCCATGCTTTCTCTGTAGACGAGAGTGGGCTGTCCCAGACTTGTGTGTGGGTCTCCCTTTCTCACCCAGGGCACCATGATGCTCGACTGATCAAACAGAGACCTCCCCCCCCCCAGCTAAACTTAAAACCGATCTTGAGAAACCCTAGAAAATAGCGGAGGGGGGGAGAATTGTAGAAGCCAGAGGGTCAAGGACACCAGGGGAACAGGCACACAGAATCAACTGCACAGGTTCATAGGGGTCATAGAGACTGCAGCAGTAATAATGGAGCCTGCATGAGATTGCACTATGGCAACCATCTGTGGTTGTTTAGCTTGTTCGTTATTGTGGATCTCCTAACGGGGGAGTGTCGCTGATTTTTTTTTTGATTGTTCTTGGGACCCTTTCACTCCTGTTTGGTTGCCTCACCAGCCTTGACACGAAGGCATTTGGGTACTACAATGATCTCCTTGTGAAACCATGCTCAAAGCCTGGTGAGTCACCTGCACTGACTCAGTATCTCAAACATCTTGAAGCCTCAAGTTGCGGCCAGACGCAGAACTGGCTGCTTTATTATCTTGCCTAAGCTGAAATGTTCTGTAAAATTCTAGGAATAGGGATATGTATTGATGATAAAATCTAGTCTGTCTTTGCCTAGCCTGTAACCCGGGCATGCTAGTAGCGTATGCCTTAAACAAAATGATGTGATCTGTGTCTCTTGAGAAATCATGAATGACTTTAAAATCAGTATAAATAAGAAAGTTTCTGATTGCTAGTCAGTCTGAGTTACAAAGTCTGGATGTCAGACTCAATGCTCCCCTTGCCTGATCCTTCCATCCTCTCCAGGAACTGTTCACTGCTAGTGCTGGCTGCCAGCAGAAACCTATATAAAGACAAGGGAAGAAGGAATGGGATGTGTCTGTTCTTTGCCAGCTTGCCCTCTACTTGTCAGCACATCCATCTCTTCACCACCATGGACGTCTACTTCTTTGGGATTCCAGCATATACAGAGGCCAGCAGAGACACCCAGCCTCATGGGTGTAACTACTAGATTTTTGTACTTTCCATCCACAACTAGAGTGCAGCATGTGAGTCATTCCAATAAATTATTATATATTATATATATTTCAGAACTAGCATAGTAGTCCTGGAAAGCCTTACCCAGCAGGGACGAGAGCTTCCCTTTAGCTGCAGAAAGGGTCTCCCCCTTCCCCCCAAAATGATGAAATAAAATAGGTAAATCTAATATAGGTGTGAGTAACATTATAATTCTGGTGATTATCTTAGTTTTGAACGCATTATTTCATGGCTCTGGAAGCAATAGCTGGCAAGGCAAGTTCTCAAAGATAAATCGTTTGGTGTGTCTGCATCATCATTAGAGAAAGCCTGTTGTGGGGCTCTTTCTTAGTAGTCTGTGAGATCCAGCGGTTTGGGGGTTTGTACTCTAGTGAATGGAGGCTTTCCTCATGGTCATGGTCAAAAGGCAAAACAAAACGACAACAACAACAAAAACAAAAAACAAAAAAAAGCCACCTTTTTTGAAATTCGGGGGTTTCCTTTTCATATCTCTGAATTCTGAGTTGAGGACCACTGGTATGTGTGTCTATTTTATATATCCATTGAATAATTGTAGTCCCTTGTTGATGTGTTTTAATTATATTGGCAAAAAAAGGATACACTTGGACATGAAGTGTGAGAAAGTCATGGAACTTTTCTTTACCTCATCTGTAATCTTTATGGGGTTTCCTATCAAGCGCCACATGTGTTTCCTGTGCTGGAACCTACTAGGGGCCTGTTTCTACCCAGAAGACCTGCTGTTTCCTTTGGGGGAAAAAGATTGGAATGGACTGAGCAAACTTAAGGCTCCATCTTTATGGAAAGGGCAGGTGGCGAATACTGGGTGTTCGAGGCAGTGCATCCCAAATCCCAGCTCATGTTGTCTTGCAATGCAGTGAAATCCCGAAATGGAACAGGTTCATTCCACGCGGGACGGATAATATGTTAGAGCTTTTGTTTTAAAATTTGTTTTTGTTGTTTGTTTTTGCTTCCTTACTTGTTTTGGTTTTCTGAGACAGCTTTTCTCTGGTACTATGGTCTGTCCGGGAACTAGTTCTCTGGATCAGGCTAGCCTCCTCTTAGTGATCCCGATTAGAAGAGCCGGCCACCATGCCGGGCTTCTTTGTTTCGTTTTGGGTCAGGGTTTCATGACCATGTAGCCCTGAATGGCTTTGAATTCACAGAAGTTCGCCTTCTTCTAGAGAGCGGGCAGTCAGGACTCACAGCTGAGCTTTCCTAAAATGTTTTGATACTTTTCGCGGACTGAGTACAGTTCGCCAATCAGGGACCATTTTACTAAAAGACGCCGAACTGTCCAATCAGGGGCGCGGATGGTTGCAGCACGCGTCCCGGAAGTCATTTTTTACGCTTCGTTTACTACTGGGGGATTCTTGTGAGGGTCTGGTCTGGCCCACTTTGTGTTCGGCTGGCTCCAGTCCTCTTTGAGAAGACACCTATACACAGCAGAAATGGTGAGTGTGCCTGGGGCGCGGGAATCTTGGGGACAGTTGGATTTGCGTCGCCAGCACCTGGAGTCTTCCCTGGCGCTGTGCAGTCTTGTGGAAGGTGGAGTCTCTAGCTCAACAATGCCTGTGCCCACCTGTGAGTGCAGTGTGCACCCCACGGAAACCTTTAACCCAGAGTGCCCCAGTTTTCTGTCCTGGTGAAGCTGCTTCCCCAAATCTCCAGCACTCGTGGGTTAGTCCTTGTTATGAACCTCCGCCTACTCAGAACTTGCGGCGCTGGCGGGTTGGAAATGCTGAGCCCGGACTGTAGGGACCTGGGTGATCTGTGCAGTTTCCCTTCGCTTGTGCTTCTGTTTGCTTTGATTTAGGTTTTCTCCATTATCACTTCGGATATCATTTCTTTCTCCTTCCCTCCCCTCCGTCTTCTGGTCTGCCTCAGAATTGTTTCCCATGCCTCCTGGTGGTTAAGAAGTTTCCCACAGAACTGTGTCTCCTTAACACCCCATTCAGTGTGGTCTTTGGATTTTTCCCTTTGGTTTTTTTTTTGTTTTGTTTTTCTTTAGTATTTTTAATTCTATTTTGGATTTATTCGGTTTTTTTTGTGTGTGTGCTTCCCCACATGTATATCTGTACTACTCGCATGCTTGGTGGTGGCTTTGGTTCTCATGGAACTGGAGTTACAGCTGGTTGTGAACCACCTTGTGGGTTCTGGGAACTGAACCCAGGTCCTCTGCAAGAGCAACAAGTGCTCTTTACCACTGAGCCACTTCTCTAGCCCCCTTGTTTTGCTTTAGTTTTACAAAATGATAGCGTGCAAGGCTTTTTTCTTGTTTTCCTGATGAAAGCTGTCCAAAATTACCAGTCTGAAGAAAGACAAATTTCAATTTGCTTCATATGTTGCTTGTAGTGATTCTTTATCATATATTTTCATTTTATTGAAAATAGTTTCTATTCTTGGACACTGTATGCTGATTATTGTTTCCCTTCCCTCTTATCCTCCCAGTTTCTTTCTATTTGCCCTCCCCTCTGGGTCTACTCCCTTTCTGTCTCTCATTAGACAAGAACAGGTTTCTAAGAGATAGTGGCCAAACCTGACAAAATAAAATATAATGAGGTAAAACAGAAAACATCACAACAAGGTTGGACAAGACAACCTCATGGAGAAAAAGAGACCTACAAGTTCACATGTTCAGATGTCCCATAAGAGTACTAAACCGAAAGCTATAATATGTACCAGAGGACCTGGTTCAGATCCTTGTAGGCCCCTATGCTTGCTGCTTCAGTCTGTAAATTCACATAGGCCTTGTTTAGTTCATTAAGAGGGCACAGAGATGTTAGAATGGAAATATCATCTTGGTATGTTCTCCCACTGATCCTTCCCTGTGTCTTTTCATTAGCTTAGGTTTGAAGTCTATTTTGTTATATGCTAAAATGACTGCAACAACTTGCTTCTTAGGTCATTCACTTAGAATGTCTTTTTTTCAGTCGTTTTCCCTGAGGTGATATCTGTGCTTGGTATTGAGGTATGTTTCTTGGATGCAACAGAAGGATGGATCCTGTTTTCACAACCATTTTGTTAGTCTGTGTATTTTCTTTTTTTTTCTTTATTTTTATTGAGCTTTACATTTTTCTCTCCCCCCCCCCGTGTCTCTTCTCCCCCCCTTCAAACTTCCCCCAAGGTCCCCATGCTCCCAATTTACTCGGGAGATCTTGTCTTTTTCTACTTCCCATGTAGATTAAATCTATGTAAGTCTCCCTTAGTATCCACATTGTTGTCTAAGTTCTCTGGGATTATAGGCTGGTTTTCTTTGCTTTATGTTTAAAAACCACCTATGAGTGAGTACATGTGATAATTGTCTTTCTGTGTCTCTGTTACTTCACTCAAAATGTTTTCTAACTCCATCTATTTTCCTGCAAAATTCAAGATGTCATTATTTTTTCCTGCTATGTAGTACTCCATTGTGTAAATGTACCACATTTACATCCATTTACATATCCATTCTTCAGTCGAGAAACATTTAGGTTGTTTCCAGGTTCTGGCTATGACAAACAATGCTGCTTTGAACGTAGTTGAACATATGTCCTTGTGACACAATTGAGCATCCTTTGGATATATACCCAAAAGTGGTATTACTGGGTCTTGAGAAATGTTATTTCCTAATTTTCTGAGAAATCACCACACTGATGTCCAAAAGGGTTGTACCAGCTTGCACTCACACCAGCAGTGCAGAAGTGTTCCCCTTACCTCACAATCTCTCCAGCATAAGTTGTCATCAGTGTTTTTGCTCTTGGCCATTCTTTCAGGTGTAAGATGGAATCTCAGAGTTGTTTTGATTTGTATTTCTCTGATTACTAAGGATGTTGAACATTTCCTTAAGTGTCTTTCAGCCATTTTAGATTCCTCTGTTGAGAGTTCTCTTTTTAGGCCAGTACTCCATTTTTTTTTTTATTGGATTGTGTGTTCTTTTGGTGACCAATTTCTTCAGTTCTTTGTATATTTTGGACATGTGGGGTTGGTGAAGATCTTTTCCCATTCTGTAGGCTGTCATTTTGTCTTGTTGACTGTGTCCTTTGCTTTACAGAAGCTTTTCAGTTTAAAGAGGTCCGATTAATTAATTGTTGCTCTCAGTGTCTGTGCTGCTGGGTTAAATACGCTTTCTTTTTCCATTTGATATTTTTTGCTTCTTTGTCAAAAATAAGGTGTTCAAAGATGTGTGACTTGATATCTGGGTCTTCTATTCGGTTTCAGTGGTCCTCCTTCTGTTCTTATGCCAATACAAGGCTATTTTCAGTACTGTAGCTCTGTAGTAGAGTTTAAAGTCAGGGATTGTGATGCCTCCAGAAGTTCTTTTATTGTATAGGATTTTTGACACCCCTTCAGTTCTCCTTTAGAATTGCACCCTATGCCTTCTGGTCTTAGCAAACTTACCCACAGGGCAGTGTCTCCTCCCCTAAAAGCTTTTTCAGTAAGCTTTTTCCACTTGTCCTTCTTTTCTAGAGGATACATAAAAGTTTTTTCTTTTTCCTGACTACACTTGTTCAAAGTTAACAGTCTAAAGAAAGAGAGGATTTAAATTTGCTTTACTTTTTATTTGTTTGCAGTGATCTTTTTGAGGCTGTAATTGGAATTGTGAAAACTATTTGAAACTTTGCTGAATGTGAAAAGGCCAGTGAGTCAGGCAAAGAGCTTCCTGGGATTGACATTGTATGTTTTTCTTTGCTGCTTGGAGCAGAAAATTTGGGGAATGTAGCTCTGTAATCAGTGATTTCTAGGACTGGAATCTTTGAAAAAATACTAACATTTCATCTTTCCTTTATCCTCCAGCTAGTTGATTTTTGTATGTAGTATAATTTTTGACTGTTGGTAAAGCTTCATTAAGTTCATATGTGAGAAAGACAGTTTTGTTTTCTATCTGTGTTAATAACTAAGATGAAAGGGGAAAAACCCAAGTCACCAATGCCAAATTAATTAAAGCAAGCTTTTTAGTCATGTGAATGGGCTGTCTCCCCTTAAGGGCTCATTTGAGAGGTCAGCATTAGTTATGAGGATGACAAAGCTTTTGTAGAACTCAGGAATAGGAGCTTTTCAAATGGGCATTCGACAAGCAAAATAGGTGGGTTTACTGGATGTTTTAGAACTTTACTTTTAACTATGTAAAGATGTGTTACATTTGTTTATGCTGCATCTGTTTTACAATGTAAAGATGTGTTGCTTTCCCTACTGAGGCACGGGATTGGTCTAATAAAAAGCCAAACAGAAAATAGCTAGGCAGTAGAGAAATAGGCAAGGCTGGCGGGCAGAGAGAATACCTAAGAGGAGAAATCTAGGCTGGAGAGAGAAGAGAATGAGGGAGGAGGAGATGCCTGAGACAAGCCATCCAGGCAACTACCAGACAGACAGATAGGGGGGAAGCAGTGAAAGTGGGATACACAGTATGGAAAGGGTCAAAAGCCCTGAGGCAAAATATAGTTGAAGAGAAACATGTTAAGATATCTTATAAGTTAGTATGACAAGCATAAGGTAAGGCCAAGCATTCATACCTAATAATAAGTGTCTGAGTCATGATTTCAGAGCTGTTTGGTGACTAAAGAGAAAGCCTGCCACAACTGGATATCTTAATTAGTATTTTATTAGGGACACCATGACCGTGGTCACTCTTACAAATTAAAACATTTAACTGCGGATAGCTTGCAGCTAGAGAGGCTTAGTTCGTTATTGCCATGGCAGGAAATATGGCAGCATGTGGGCAGACATGGTGCTAGAAGCAGAACTGAGAGTTGTACATCTTGATCTGCAGGCAGCGAAAGGAGACCATGTACCACTCTGGGCATAGCTTGAGCATGTAAGACCTCAAGGCTATCTCCACAGTGGCACACTTCCTCCAGCAAGGCCACACCTCCTCTTAACACTACTCTTTGTGGGCCAAACATTTAAACACATAAGTCCTTGGGGGCCATACCTATTCAAACCACCACATTCCACTCCCTATCCCCCATAGATTTGTAGCCATAACATAATGCAAAATGCATTTATTCTAGCTTCAGATATCCCCATATACTATTAAAGTCTGAACAGTGTTTAAAAGTCCAAGTCTCTTCTGAGATTTGCAGTGTCTTAACTTTAATCCCATATAAAATACAAATAAAAAATGCATCACATATTTACAGCATATATTGGTACATGATCTACATTACTGTTCCAAAAGGTTAGAAAGGGAGCAGAGTGAGGACCAAAATCCAGCTGAGCAAACTGCAACCTCCCACATCCTCATGTCTGATGTGAAATTCTCTTCAGATCTCCAACTACTTCCAACTTTATTGTCTGCAACACACTTTTCTCTCTTGGGCTGGTTTCACTCCCTGTTAGCAGCTCTCTTTGACAGGTATCCCATGACTGTGGCATCTCCAGCATCTTGGTGTCTTCAAAGCAATCCAGGCTCACATTCACAACATTGCACAGTGGCCTCCCTAGGCCTCCATTCAGTGACACCCCTTAAACACACCTGTCCTCAGCCGACTTTCTTAGTCATGGAGGAAGACTACATAATCCCTTTCCTTGGTTCTAAAGCCAGAACCATGTGACTGAACTGCCAAATTCTGCTGCTTACTGGGGTTGGGGCATGTCCCCCTCATTTAATTATATCCTCCTTAGCTTTCTGGCTTTGCTGGTTTCCTTCACTGCTTAAGCATGGTTGTCCAGAGATCCATTCTATAGATCAGGAAGGCATTGAGCTCAGATCCACCTGCCTCTTCCTCTGGAGTGATTAAAGGTTTGCAGCACCACACTGGGCTCTGAGTTTTTCTTTAATTTCATTTAACAAGTTGGAAACTTAGTTCAGTGGGATCTTGCTTTGAGGTCACCATACCCTTTATTCCATTTAACATCTGTCTTTAATCTGTTTTTCTCCTTGAACATAGGATTTAGCTCTAGTCTACTGCCTGTTGTTGGTTTTCACTTCAAGCTGTACATTTTGTAATTTTCCTTGCTCAGCTTCTTCCTTCTCATTATAGATCTTTATAAGCATGGCTACTAACAACTACATGACACCATTCATACTAGGCTGTTTTGAAATCTCCTCTGCAAGTGCAATTAACCCAAAACACTTCACTTTAGCCTCAAGCAGACGATTAGGACAAGAATAAAAAACAGTCACATTCTTCACAATGGGTCTACCTTCTTTTAAATGTATTTCTTTTTTTAAAGATGTATTTGCTTCTGTATATGGGGGCTCTATTTGCATGTATGCCTGCATGACAAAAGAGGGCATAACATCCCATTATAGGTGCTTGTGAACCTCCATGTGGTTACTGGAAATTGAACTCAGGACCTCTGGAAGAGCATCCATTTCCCTTAGTCACTGACCCATGTTTTCAGCTCTTAAATATATTCATTTATATTAGATTTTTCATCTGGCTGTCGAAAATTACTCAGAAATGTGACGTAAGGCGGAAGGAGTTCATTTCATATCACAATTGAAGGGCACAGTCAGTAAAATGTAGAACTCTGAAGCTGCTACTCAAACCAAACATAATTAGGAATAAAGTGTAGTTGTCTGTCAGCTCCCTCCTTCCACTGATATAGCCCCTATACAGTTAACAAAACACTGTCTCTCAAGCCACTGTGTGTTGTCTTGAATGTGACTGACCTCCATAGGCTCACATATTTGAAATCTTGGTCACCAGTTAGTGGAACTGTTTGGAAAAATTTTAGGAAATGTGTCCGTATTGTAGGAGGTGTGTCAGTTGGGATGCTTTTTGAGGTTTGAAAAGGCCAGACCAAACCATGTTTTTGCCTGCTGTCTTTGGATGAAGAGTAAAATATTCAGCTACAGTTCCAGCTCTATGCCTTTCTGCTTTCCACCATGATAATCATTGACTGACCCTCTAATGGGTTTTCTATAATCTGATAATAAATTTCTCACCAGCATAGTAAGCCAAATCAAGCAAATTAAAAGTAAAGACCACATTTATTTGCGCAAAGTGTTCCTGGGTAAACCTCAAGGGAAAAGGGCAGGAGCGAAATCACATGGCCAATCTAAAGCAGCAGACTTAAATTACCCTGTAGGCACATAGCAATGACCCATTCTCCACAAGCTGGCTTCATGCCCAATTATACTTTGGGTGGGAACTTGGGGAGCTGGATGCCTCTGGCCACTGCAATCACCAGCAATGTGGAAATGAACCTTTTTGTGGCCTTTCTGAAAGGGCAGGGTTTTAATAGGGAGGAAAGGGACTGAACTGGAGATTCTAGCTGAACACCCTCTAAAAGTGGAAGCAAGCCCCAATTAAATGCTTTCTTTTTTTTTCCTCACATATTTGCTATAGCTATATTCTTTTTTATTTTTATTTATTTATTTATTTTTTATTTATAAGAATTTCCACTTCCTCCCCTCCTCCCCATACCCTTCCGCTCCCCCTACTCCTTCTCCTCCTCCCTCTCGAGTCCCAAGAGCAGTCAGGGTTTCCTGCCCTGTGGGAAGTCCAAATTCCTCCCCCCCTCCCTCCAGGTCCAGGAAGGTGAGCATCCAAACAGACCAGGATCCCAAAAAGCCACTACATGCAGACGAAACAAGACCCAGTGCCATTGTCAATGGCTTCTCAGTCAGCCCCCGTGTCAGCCACATTCAGAGAATCCGGTTTGATCACATGCTCGTTCAGTCCCAGTTCAGCTGGCCTTGGTGAGCTCTCATTCGATCAGTCCCCTTGTATCAGTGGGTGAATGCACCCTTCGCGGTCCTGACTTCCTTTTTCATGTAATGCTTTCTTTTATAATAATTTCTTGTTGATAATGTTTCCTCCTGGCAGCTGAATAGTAACTGAGACAGTGGGTCTTCCTGTATTAGATAAGTAATCAAGATAGCCTCCCACAGATATTCTTCAGTTAATCCTATTTAAAAGATCACTTAGAGGTGTTTTTATGCTCGATGATTCTGTATCCTGTCAGCTGTCAGGCAAAACTAACCATCCTAATATATGCACTCTTAGGAGCCAGTGACCTCTGAGGATGTTGCTGTGAACTTCACTGTAGAAGAGTGGGCATTGTTGGATTCTACTCAAAAGAAGCTCTACAGTGCTGTGATGGAAGAAACATTTTTAAACCTGATATTCATAGGTAAAAAAACAAACGTGCTTGTTAGAAATATTTTCTGACATGAGCTCTGTCGACGCAAAAATCCCAACCATGCTGTATCTAAACAAACTGAATAAAGGATATCCAGGTTTAATAGCACTGCTGCGCTCTCAGGTGGCCCCAAGGGGAACAGGGAAACCACCAGTGTGGCACAGGACAGGATGATGACCACGTGCTTACTTTCCAGGGAGCAGTTTAAATAGACTAGGAGAGTGGTCCTGACCTTCTCTGGGGAGGGGTCAAGGTTTGGCAGGCTACCCCTCCTCAGTGTCAAGGTGCAAGGGGCACAGGGGCGGGGCCTCCAAAGATGGAGGCCAGAGACTAAAATTTACAGTGCTCCCATTGCTTATTCAGTTAGAGTGCAGCTGTTTTCTGCTTATGTGTGTAGTGTTGTGATTTGGATTCTTGAACGGAATATGTGGTAAATTTAGTGTGAATATCCATGTCAGAAGAGCTAGATTGTAATAATTTTTTATGTTCAATATGAATGTCATAAAGTATTCTGAATTTTCTTCTAGAGAAAGCACTAGAAGAAAATATTGAAGAGGACCACAAAGATCTCAGCAGAAATACAAGGTAATTTATATTCAATAGAAAAGAGTTTATGTCAAATATTTGGGAATCATAAACCAACAGATCCTGCCAAATGCTCCAAATAAACCTAAGTGAAAAATGACCCTACACAAATTCCTGTAACAGACCATTGATTTATCATTCAATATTTGAGTATCCCATCTATGTAATCTATTAATATCATAAATATGTCATGGACATTAAGCTCTAAAGGAGCTTTTCTGGTGGCTTATTACACAGAACTTACCTTCATATCCAAAAGTATTTACCTTTTTTACATATATTATTCTGTCATTTTATATTAGAACTGTATTTTCTCTTTGCTGTGTCAAAAAAAACCCACACCACTTTGAGGTAGAGCTCATTTTTACTTACACTTCCTGTCACAGCCAAATCATAGAAGAATGTCAAGGCAGTAGCCCAAACATGGCAAGAATCTGATGTAGGAACTGAAGCAGAGGTGATGGAGAAATTCTGTTTATTGGTGTGTTCCTCATCCATTACTTAGCTTCTGCCTTATTCGTCCATGGCCCACATCTCTAGGGGGACAATATCCACAGTGGACTGGGGCACTCTACCTCAATCAGTGATCAAGAAAATGCCCACACAGATAGACCTAAATGTCAATTTGATAAAGGCATTTTCTCCATTATGGTTCTCTCTTCTCAGATGTGTGCCCTAGTTTGTATAACATTGAACAAAACTAAGCAAGAGATATCTTTCCTACACATCTCATGGACTCCTATCCGTGGTTACACTACCCAACATTGTCAAAGGCCTGCTTTATCAATAAGGAAGGTGAAAAGTCCTCCCACAGACTTGTTTATAGGCCAAGCTGATTGAGCCATTTTCTCCATTGAGGGTTTCTATTCTCAGATGACCCTAGACGGATCTAGTTGATAACTAACCAACCAACACCGGCTGAGTATTTAGAATGCCACAGTGCTTTAGCATTTTATATGATTGTTATGATTGTCTTCCAACAATAGAACTTTTGCCTCTATATTCACTTTCTTTATGCCGTTCAGTTATTTTATGTGTTCATGTGTATGATTTCTTGCATGACAAAAACTTTTGCGGAAGGCAGAAGAGAGCAAGAGATCCTTTAGATCAAGAGTGACAGGAACTTGTGAGCCCTCCACATGAATGCTGATCATCAAAATCCGATCCGCTGGAAGACTATATAAGTCAACCCTCTACTTCTTTGCACATGACAGGATCTTTACATGTCGTCCATATTGTCCTTAACATTGATGGCATTCTTTTGTTGTTCCTGAGATAGAAAAGTTGCAGTGGTTCACACACACAATCTCAGATATTTCCCTTGGCTACACTAATCTTTTTCTCATTTTTTGCAGAACTCTGGTGGTTGAGAAAGACTGTGGATATGAATGCAATAGTGAGTGTGATAAGAACCAGAAACCTATTACAGAGACTATCATCAATAAAGATGTGCACCCAGGAGTAAGAGTTCATCAAAGTTCATTGCGTGTAAAAAACATCATTTGTCATTCATCCTCACATGGGTATCTCAGAGAACAACCTAGAGGGATACGATCTGTATGTAAGGAAGCTATGGCAAAGGATTTTACACATCAGAAACATTGGAAACTCATTAGTCATTCTGAATCACTTTTGGAACTTGAAACTTCTCCTAAGGAGAAACCCTGCAAAAGTCAACAATGTAATGAAACCTGTAGGAGTCTCTGTTTTGATCAGCCTCAGGAGAGAACTCACACTGGAGATAAACTCAATGAGAATGACTTAACAAGATGCACATATGGCCAGAATGATGAAGGAATCAATAAAGAAGGGAAAACATTTGTATGTAAACTCTGTGAAGAATCAGTCATTCATTCCAGTGACCTTATCAGCCATGAAAAAAGTCATATTGGAGAGAAAAGGTACATTTGTAGTCAATGTGGCAAAACATTTAATTATGCAAAATGTTTTGAAAACCATGAAGTAACTCACAGTGGAGAGAAGCCTTGTGCTTGTAAACATTTTGGAAAAGCCTTCACACAATACAGTTATCATAACAATAATGAAAGTAGTCATATTGGAAAGAATCCCTATGCATGTAGACATTGTGGAAAAGCCTTTACCAGTTCCTCTTACCGAAACATTCATGAAAGAATTCACACTGGAGAAAGGCCTTATGCATGTAACTATTGTGGAAAAGCTTTCACCAGTTCTGCTTATTGTAATATTCATGAAAGAATTCACAGTGGAGAAAAGCCTTATGTCTGTAAGCATTGTGGAAAAGCCTTCAGTGACCTAAGTCGCCGTAGCAGACATGAACGGAGTCACACTGGAGAGAATCCTTATGCGTGTAAGTTTTGTGGGAAAGCCTTCAGTGACTCCAGTCGTCGTAACAGGCATGAAAGGATTCACACGGGAGAGAAGCCTTATACATGTAAGTATTGTGGAAAAACTTTCACTAATTTTAGTTCATGTAAAGGTCATGAAAGAGTTCACACTGGAGAGAAGCCTTATGTGTGTAAGCATTGTGGAAAAGCATTTACCCGCTCTAATCAACTGCACGCTCATGAAAGAGTTCACACTGGAGAGAAGCCTTATGCATGTAAACATTGTGGAAAAACTTTTAAAACTTCTACTTGTCGAAACTTGCATGAAAAAATTCACACTGGAGAGAAAGACTTTGTCTGTAAAACATGTGGGAAACTGTTCATTCAGTCTAGTGATCTTAACAAGCATGAAAGAGTTCACTCCAAAGACAAGCCTTATGCATGTACGCATTGTGGAAAATCCTTCAGTGACTCCAGTAGTCGTTACAGACATGAAAGACGTCACACTTGAGAAAAGTCTTATGTGTGGAAGCCTTGTTGAAAAACCAATTTCAGTTTGTGTAAGACCTCTGAAAGACTCCATACTGGAGAGAAGCCTCATGATGTAAGCATTGTGGAAAAGCCTTCACCCGCTACAGTCATCTGAACATTCATGAAATGATTTACACTAGAGACAAGCCTAACTCATGGAAACATTGTGGAAAAACCTCCAACACTTCTGCTTGGTCTAACTTGCGTGAAAGAAATCACACTGGAGAGAAACCTGTGTTTAAAACATGTGGGTTCATTTAGTCTAGTGATTTTAAAAGGCATGAAAGAGTTCACTTAAAAAACAGGCCTTATGCATGTAAGAATTGTCGAAAATCCTTCAGCTGCTCTGGTGATCTTACCAGACATGAAATGCTTCACACTAGTTGGTAGCCTAATGCTGCTCGTTAGCACTGTGGATAACCTTCACTATTTCCACTTTGCCCAAGAGTAATAAAAACATTCACATTGGAGAGAAACCCTCTGTTCATAAACATTTAGAAAACTATTTCTTTGTTCTTATTTATCAAATATAAACGATCTCACATTAGTGAGGAACCTTACCAATATTAGCAATGTGGGAAAGCCTTCACCACTTCCAGTTTCTGTAACCCTCATGTAAGAATTTACACAGGAAAGAGGCCTAATGCATGTGTGCTTTCAAATATTGTCAAAAGCCTTCATAAGTTCCTGTTTCCATGAAGTTCTAAGAATCTATCCTAGAGACAGGTCTTACATGTATAATCATGTGGAAAATCCTTTAGTGGCCACAGTTCTTATTATATTCAGTTTTTTTGCCACTGGGGAAAGTTTTTATGTTTTTAATAAATGTGGGAAAACATTCACAGTTTTTAAAAACCCTACCCTCTCAAACAATCTGTTCCTGAATTTCCATGTTTCAGACCTATGGTCAAACCCAAAATGATCTCACAGTGAAAGCTGCAATGTACAGACTTTGTGACAGTGCATTAGTCAAATTGCTTCCGTTGTGAGATATGGAAGAAGAATGTGATTGGAACATGAGATGCCTCAGCTAGTAATGGTTCTTGCCAAAAGATATGATTATCTCAATTCCCTCATTGGATCTTGCATGGTGGAAATAGAGACCCAGTTCCTGAAAGTTGTCTCCTGAGAATCAAATGCATGCTTCCTAATGAACACAAAAAGAAAAATACAAATGAATAAAGAAATAATGACGTGTTCATAGCAGTAGAGGCATAACTGACAAATACAGTGTTTTAATGTGGAAAGATACAGAGTGTGAGACCTGCAAAAGTGTAATGTTAATGCCCAATATTTTGCTATATGTAGCATGGAAACTACTTGCATTATGAGCAGTACCTGTATTTTGTTTTTGCTTTTAACTGTGGCTATGGCAGTAGCTTTGAAAACAGGTATAGTAGTGGTGTGCTTGGGGAATGGCCCAATAGGCTAATACGTTTGAAACTTTGTTCCCATTGGTGAAACAGTTTGAGGACAATTAGACAGTATGGCCTGTGGTGAATATCTGTCACTCTCAGCAAGTTTGAGATTTCAAGACACGACACTCCTAGTCTGTTCCCTCTGCCTCCTGATTGTAGATTATCATGTGAGTCCTGACACCGTGCCTTTGCTCCACCTGAAGAGATCCTGACACTCTGCAGCGTCAAGCCCATTGTAACACTTTCTTCTAAATGTTTCTCTACTAGTTGGAATTTGTCACAACTATGAAAAGGAAATTCAGATATCCACCTTGGGGTTTAAAAAAAACCAAATCCAAGTGCACTTTAATCCCAGCACTTGAGAGGCAGAGGCAGATGAATCTCTGTGAGTTTGAGCTCAGCCTGGTCTACAAGAGCTAGTTCCAGGACAGATTCCAAAGCTACAGAGAAAACCTGTCTCAAAAAACCAAAAGAAAAAAAGAAAAGAAAAAAATATCCAGTAAGAAATTTTCATTGCAAAACTGAAAAATCGGATTGTCATTTTTAATGAAATAACAGTTGTGAAACTTTTTCATATACTTAAATCTTAAGTCAACAATAAATTAAATACTTTCTGGAAGTTAATCCAAAGGCTTTAGAAACAAACAGCTTGAAAGAAGTACATTCAAATATTGAGCATTTTTATTAGTGGCCCATTTCTATACAGGAGATTTACTTTGCATTATGTTTTCCTTAGTAAGGCAAGGTATGGTTTCTGTGTTTACTCCAGTTTATCTCATATCTGAAGATTTGGAACTAGGATTTATCTTTCTGAGTCCGGCTTAGCACACGTTTTGTAATTGATTCCATTTACCAAACCATTTTCTGACTTAAGATTTGTGTGTGTGTGTGTGTGTGTGTGTGTGTGTGTGTGTGTGCGCGCGTGCGCGCCTGAATAGTATGCCATTGGTAATTGGGAGAGACTACAGAGGAGAGTAGCTGGATGTAATTAACAGGAGGGGAAAATTTGAAAACTGTGGAGGAAGAGATTCTAATTAGGGATGAAATGAATACAGCCAATATGGGAGACAAATGAGGAACTAATGCCAATGTTGTTTGGTAATGGTTAAGAAGCAGTTATTTTGGAGCCAGGGAGTCGTGACACATGCCTTTAATCCCAGTACTCGGGAGGCAGAGGCAGGCAGATCTCTGTGAGTTCGAGGCCAGTCTGGTCTACAAGACCTAGTTCCAGGACAGACTCCAAAGCTACATAGAAACCTTGTCTCGAAAAACCAAAAATAAAATAAAATAATAATAAAAAGTAGTTATTTTGTATATATGCAAAATTTTATGTCTTGTATAGTGTGATATATATACACCTTGTATAGTGTAATTATACAATATCTATTATAAATAGTAATGTTATGTTATACTTATGTATAATGCAGGTGTCAATACAAGAGTATGTACATACTCGTGGATACACAAACACACACACATATATATTAAATGAAGTTATATCACTTGGCATGACAGTCCCTTCCCCCAAGAACCCTATATTAATAAAAACAACAGCACCAGGCATAAGAAATCTCCATTCGCATTGTTCATGATGGTCCATGTAATTCCCCAAGCAATTTAAGTAATACTCTTTTCTTTGGTCATCTTTGAGAAGTTGAGGGTAACTCATATTTGTTGACACATTCCATACTTGGAATTCAGGACTAAGAAAGGTTGAACTGGATCTAACACCAAAATCTTCTTAGTCTGTCATACATAGATACAATTCAGTTTGCCAAGTGAGAGAAATGGTCAATAGCCCTCCCCAACTGTGACTTTTGTTTTGGTTTGCATGAGAATGGCCCCCAAAGGCCTCTATATTTGAGTGGTTTTTTATCAGTTAGTGGAACTGGTGGGAAAGATTAGAAGATGTCACCTAGTTGCAGAGCATTAGTCACTGGGATGGCTTTAAGGCTTCAGTGCTTACATTGTTCCAAGTTAGCTCTTTCTCTCTGGCTCCAATTTTCAGATCTTTTTAGCTAGTGTCCATTGCTATGCTTGCCTACCTGTGCCATATTACCTGTGATGATAATCACGGGCTCTATCCTCTAGAACCATGAGTGTCCAAAAATGTTTTCTTTCATAAGTTATTTTGGTCACGAATTAGGAAATAATAATAGGAAAATAGCAACCCAATGAACCCAAACAGTGATTAGTATGGCAAGATATCAACACAGGCACAATAGTGTCTTCCCTGTCTTGTTGGTGACCAGCTACTGTATAATTTATATTTAGGTCTGTCCAACAGGAAGGAAATTGTGTGTGGTACTAGAAATGTAACCAATGAATGAGGGTAGTGATATTATGGATTTTAGAGAACCTACTTCTGCCAGCATAAATCCTGAGTCTTAAAACTTATTTTTATACTCACAAAATTATAGCCCATGCCATTTCTTAAATAAGCTCTCTAGAGCAAGCAGACAATTTCAACCTTGTTTCATTCTTTCCTCTTGCATTTTGAGGAAAGGGGGATGCAGATGTGGATACTTTCTATTTTTACAGTGATATTATCAGTGAATAAAAGTTGTATCTGTTCCTCCTCATTCTTAGGTCCTTCTTGTTGCCTGGAGACTGCTTATTCGTTTCCTAGACATTCAGACTCCCAAAATGATCAAAGAGAAATCTGTATTAATTGCAATATTGCTTGGCCAATAGCTTAAGCATATTTCCAGCTAGCTCCTACATCCCAAACTAACCCATCTCCATTAATCTGTGCATCACCACAAGGTTGTGGCCTTCCAGAGTCCCCGGAGGCAACATGGATTCTCACTGACTCTGCCTTCTTTCTCCCAGCATTCAGTTTAGAGTTCTTGCCTAGTTCTATTCTGCTAAGTCACTGGCCAAAACAAATTTATTAATAAAAACAACACATAGACAAAAGGACTTCCCACACCTCTTTCCAATTTTTTCTCACCTCATATTTTCACCTAGTTTGTTGACATGATCTTAAAAGTTTTTTATTGAGCTATATAAATTTTTAATCTTGTTTATTGAAAGAATGGGTTAATTGAATGTAATGCCAAGTCTCAACACAAAGAATGCATGCACATTAATCCCTCTGTTGTGCTATTGCTGATTGACAATTCCTTTCCTGGTGTACACTGTAAGCTAAATGTTGTCATGCAACTAAGGAAAATTGTAAGCATGATAGAAGTAAGGTCAGGGAAGATGTCCTTTAGGGGTTGCAATGACTTTGGACTATCTCTCTTCATACTAATGTTAAAATTATCAAATAGTAACCACTTATTGATATTAGTGTTTAAAAGAATTATCCATGACATCTAAATAGTAATCCTTATTATTATATTAGACTTGTATGTTATTTTTCAGTTATTTGATAATGATATCCCCATACAATAGAGCTAAAGAAAGGAATACTAGACCTCCGGAGTGATTCTTTTGTCGCACAGCCATTTCACCTTATATAGCCAACTTAGTTTACCATGTTTCTAAATATTGTGGCCACATGTTTACATTTTCCCCAATCCTTCCAGATTCAATAAAGTATTAATGACCTATCTGCTAGAATAAATTACATTTTGTCTTAGAAAAAGTCAAGTTTAAACCCTGGCAGTAAAGGTTCCTTGTGGATCTGTACTTTCTGCCTGGGAACCTGGATGACTATGGTAAATCTGGATTTCAGTGGATATCCTGCTATTCTAATTCTTAGTAAGCCTTTGAGCCTTGGTTATACCCAATTCAACTGGAATCAACCAATGCAATAACTTGTTTGCATTGTAGTCTCTTTGTAATATTCAAGCTGCCTCAGTTACTGTTAAGTTTACTGCGTCTCAGATAAGCAGGAAGTCCTAGTCTCCAACCTTTGCAACTATTGACACCTGCGGGGTGGTATTTAGGGTGCTATTAACTGTTTTATAATATCTTAAAGTGTTACTTATTTCTATAAAGCAAATATAACTTTGATCCTGAAAACTAGCTTTTATTGAGATATGAAGTAACACTGTTACAGAAATTGCAACAGTAATTTATGTTGAGAAATTTTTAATTTTCTTTCATTTATGGTAATTCTTATAAGTAACTAACAAGTCAAATTTGTTTTATATCATTTTGGGATAACTGGATAATATACACAATAATTCCATGTTGGATGAGATGCTATGGATTACTTTTAAAAATATTTTTATAAAATTTTTTAATTTTATTTTTCATATATATGGATGTTTGACCTGCATATTTGTGCCTCATGTGCATGTCTTGTGCTCGCGGAGGCCAACTTTGCTCTTTCTCTATAAAATACCATTTTCCTTATGAGGTTGATAGGACATACAACACCAACCAAGAGTCACATTTAAAATCTAAATATGCTTAATCTATACAAATAAAATTGTCTATTCTGGTAAGTATTAAAATAATAATAATTAATATCTCATAATTCTAAAATACCTTATCGTATGAATTATAACATTTAACTTAATTGATAACAGTAAAAATTATGGCTGATGACCTGTCTACATGAGCTCTCCTCTTTAATAATACATTTTCCCAAGTTTGATTGTGTCCAATTTAAACTAATGAAAAAAAATTAAAGGAAGTACCAAGATGGTGTCTGTTCAGCCTCCTTAAAGTCTTCCCAAAAGTTTAAATTTTATGTCTTTAACATCCAAGGTCTTCTACTTAGATTACAGTCATATCTTTAAAATGACAAGGTTTAGATTAAGGATTGTTAATGCTAGTAAAATGTGATCTAAGATCTAATCAGCAGCCTAATCTAAAAGTGAAAATTGATATTTCTTTTTCTTTAAGATGACCTTCCTAATACTGATTCATATATGTATTATATGCATGTTCTTGTAATTTTATATTGTTTCCATTGTACAACTTAGCTTATAATTAACTACTATTTTAATTAAATATACCAAATTGACCTAAATTTCTTTTATAGTGTAACTTAAGCCTATTTAGTAAATGTTAGATGGAACATCACTCAATATGATATGTGGTTGGTCATCCTCTCAGCCCTGAGTTTATAAGTTTAAAATGCCCTTGCTTCTCCCTACACAGAATACCTTCTATACCAGGGCACATCTTCATTATCATGAGCAAGGCTTTCATCTTTGAAAGAATTCCTTAGTCTCTGCCTTTCCTAAAATGTAAAGACCAATAAAATAACTTACCCCTTTCATTTCAGGGTTCCATAAGTAATTATTATGTTAAAAATATGTCCCCAAATATTCTGTTTCGTCAAAATAATTGCTTATGTTTTCAAATAAATATGTCAGAATGCCAATTAACAAATAGAGTCTTATGTCACATTTATTTAAACATTTTTCCCTGTCAAGCTTGGGCCAAGTGTATATATGTGTGTGTGTGTGTGTGTGTGTGTGTATATATATATACATATATATATATATATATACATATATATATCAGACAAATAATATTTTACTTTTAAAAACCTGTTAGATGTATATCTCTTATTTTATGTGTAAGAATGTTTTGCCGGTGTATATGTATGCTCACTATGCTTCACTCCTATGGAAGTGAGAAGATGGTGTGAGATCCTTGGAACTAAAGTTATGGATAATTGTAAGCTAGCAAATGTTGCTAGAAATTGAGTCTTTATCCTCTGGAAGAGCAGTAAGTTCTTTTAACCCTGCATCATCACTGACTGTAGCACCAACAGTTCAAGTTTCAAACAGAGTTTCTTCAATACTTGATTAACTGTCCTTAATGGGTGATCGATATCCGTACTTGGAAATTGATACAAATATGGAAAAGGATCAAAAGGATAATGTTTTGGACCATACCTCTAGTTATTATCAGTCTCATGGGAATACAGAACAACTTTAATTTTCCTACAACTCCGATAAATCTCCTGATCAGAGATCAGAGAGGGTGTGAGAAGGAAGATGTAACTGGGGGTTTCTCTCCCCCCCCCATTTTCTAGTAACCACTCTGAGACTTAATTATAACTGCTGTTTGGCCTATTAGCTCAGACTTATTATTAACTATCTCTTACAATGTAAATTAAGCCATTTCTATTCTATAATTTACCATGAGGCTCATGGCTTGTTACCTCACATCTTGCTTCCCCAGTGACTGCTAGTATCTCTGACTCCGACTTTTTTCTCCCTCTCTCTCTGCTTGGATTTTCCGCCTAGATATATTCTATCCTAACATAGGCCAAAACAGCTTTTTTATTAGCCAGTAGTAATAAAAATATGTTCACAGCATACAGAGGGGCCTACCACATCATCTCCGCTTTTCTGTCTAGTTTAAAAGGAAGGTTTTAAATTTAACATTGTAAAATTACATATAACAAAACAGGTATCAAGCAAGAATTACAGTTATATTATTTAGTCTATTTGTATTTGGCAAAACTAAAAATATACTCTGCCTATCCTATCTTTGTGTCTAAAGTTCTATATATTTTATCATAACTAAAGAAAACTACAATTATAACTATTTAGTCTTCAACTCCATCAAAGACTCCAAAAGGATTTAACATTACCTAAGTAAACAAGAAGTGCATTGTAAGCAACCTCCAAAACTCTAGAAATGACAGAGATATCTGACTGCTTGGACAGTTACCCAAAGTTTTTCTGCAATCAGCTTCAGCCTATAGGCCTAGTGTCTGACAGACTTCTCTGTTAAGGAGGAAATTTGAAACAGTCCCACTTATATTGCCAGTTTTTCAGTTATCTTCCTCTGTGCCCTGTAGAATGCCTTGCAGACTCTTTCTTGAAGCAGGATCCCTAAGGGATTGTCCCATCTTATTTTGGCAAGTTCAGCAGTCAGTTTTCTTTCAGTCAGGGTGCTGCTGTCAGGAGAAGATGAGTCTCATGGTTGAGAAAAGTCTAAGTTCCTGAAGCATTTTAAATGTCATATTATGTAGGTCTTTGAAGTGTTTGTAGATTACCTACCTAATTAAAATATCTTTGTATGCCTAGAAAACCTAATTCATATGATTATGTTTGACTATTATAGATGACTATTAATCTGTATTTTTAATTATACATTACATTTTTAAATGAGCTGCATAAACATAATACCTTAAAGAAGATTAGAAATATATATGCAGTATAACAAAATTGACCTTCAATTTTTATCAATAAGCAAAAATCTATACCAATGTAAGTATTTTGAGATTAATAGTTGATTTTAGATCGAAGTAGATTCAATAATCTACCCTTTTCTCCATCATCTTTATATTATATCACTCCTTTTTCTTTAGAATGAGATTGACTATGGCCATTAACCATTTAATCCAACCCCATTTAATTGAAAACTATAAGCAATAGTTTGAGAATTATGGCATAGTTTTCTATACTACTTCCTGTTCACTGGGGACACTGGTAATCTTATGGAGATCCTGAGAAAATTCAGAATTATGGTTAAATCTTGGCTATAGTAGTCTGTGAGGCTGAATCATCTCAGCTAGTTGCCTTGAAGTTAGCTGGATATTGGATCACCTGGGTCATCGCTCCTATGAGGCACCTCTCGGGATCTTACTTGATCAAACCATATTAACCTGGGGGGAAATTCACAGCTTTTCAACTGTGAAAACAAAAACAGACCTCTTTTCAAAACAACATATCCTTAGACCCAAATTTTGAAGTCAAGATATCTTTACATTGGTTAAGCTTAGCAGCCCCCACAATCAAATGTCTCTCTATAGTTAGCTCATTAATAGTCCAAAAAAGTCAAAGAAAACAATAGTATACATAATCCAGACCCTCTGTATTTTCCATCATTATGTGGCTTTTTAAATTTTACTTTCCCAATCTCTTCTGCTACAACTAGTATATAGCAAAACCAGGAGCAACAATGAAATTCAATTTTAATTCCAAGAAGCTCTTCACCAGACTCGCTGCCCTTTTCCATATTTGGCAAAGTTTGGAAAACTTTGCAAAATTAAAACTTTAATCTCAAATTTGATCACTGCATGCCACTCCTCCCAGGGCAATGGTAGGATGAAGGGGACCCACACTCTCCTTCTGCTCCTGAGATCCAGTCCAGAGCCTCACATCCAGTTCTGTAACAGAGAGCCTGCTATGGTCTCCCTTTCCTCTCTCCCTAACAGATCACAGAGACCTTCTCCTCCCACATTCCTTCCTCCAGCTCATCCCATTTTTCTAGCCTCTCACACCAGCAGCCATTCCCTGGGAACACAGCAGCTGAGCAGGCCAGGAACATGGTTAAATTAACGGAATCCCTTCACTACCCCCTCCTCTCCTCCAAAGGCAAACCCCATCTCATCCCCATCTCTGCAACAGAACACTTACACAACCTTCCTGCTCCCTCTGCCCACATCTCCTGGGGATCCCACAGACTTTCTTTTTCTATTTTCCCTCTTCCCACTTGCTGCTTTACCCCAAGCCACAACTCCAGCACTCATTCTCTACTAACAACAGACCTCTTCTGTCTGGGAAGCAAGTAGACTGTCTGTAGATCTTCCCCTCTCCTTCAGTTCCTACAAATCAAAGCCCTAAGTCTCATCCTCAGTGCTATAGCAGAACTGTAGGTTGACTTTGCTTCACTGCACCCCTATTCCAAGGAGATGAAATGAGCAATCCTGGGTGAACATTTTGCTCTCCTCTCTCCTGTGAACCCCAAAGGACCCCTGTATTATCCCCATTCCTAAGTGTCAGCTTTAACACCCAGAAACACATTTTATCTGGAACCCCCAGTGGCCACAACTATCAGATCTAAAGACAATTTCCTACCAGGCAACACATAGCCATCAGACTCTATGAAAACCCAGAGGGAAATCAGACACCAAGGAACAAAACACTCATCCAAGAAAGATACATTAAGAAATCAGTACCTAGACCTATAATTCACCTCAAATTCAGATGCCTAGATGCCAGCATAAAAACACAATAACATTCAGGGCAGTATGTTTCCACTACAACCCAATTATCCTACCACAACAGGTCCTGAACATCCCAACATAGTTGAAGCACAAGAAACAGACTTTAAAATTGACTACATGAATATTTAAGAAGTCCTTAAAAATGAAAATGAAAAAATCCCTTCAAGAAAGCCAAGAAAACACAAACAGACAAAGGAAATGAATTAAATTTTTCAAGACCTGAAAATGGAAATAAAAGTAATTTAAAAAAACAAACTCAGAAAATCCTGGAAACAAAAAAAAATTTGGAATTTGAACAGCAACTACAAAGGGGCAACCAACAGAAGGCAATAGGCTAAAGAGAGAATTTGAGGTGTTGAAGAGACAATAGAAGAAATGAATACATCCATCAAAGAAAATGTTAAATTTAGAAAACACCTGATACAAAACATTCAGGAAATCTGGGACACTACAAAATGATCAAACCTATGGAGAATAAAAATAGAGGAAGGCAATACCACTTCAAAGATACAGAAAGTATTTTCAACAAAATTGTAGAAAAAATTATCCTAACCTAAACAAGGGCAAGCCTATAAAGATACAAGAAGCATACAAAACACCAAGTACACTGAACTAGAAAAGAAAATCCCACTGGGCAGTGGTGGTGCATGCCTTTAATCCCAGCACTCAGGAGGCAGAGGCAGGTGGATCTCTGTGAATTCAAGGTCAGCCTGGCCTACAAGAGCTAGTTCCAGGACAGGCTCCAAAGCTACAAAGAAACCCTATTTCAGAAAAAAAAAGTCCCCTCAACACATAATAATCAAAACCCTAAACATACAGAACAAGAAAGAACATTAAAAGATGCAAGGGAAAACAACCATGTAACATATAAAAGGCAAACCTATTAGGAAGACTGACTTCTCAATAAAAATAAAAGAAGAGCCTGGGCAGAGGTGCTGTAAACTCTTAAAAGATCACAGATGATAGCCTACAGTATAATACCCAGAAAAACTTTCAAATACCATGAATGGATAAAATAAGTTATTCCTTGATAAAGTCAAATTTAACCAATACTTACCTCCAAATCTAAGAGGACAGAAAGTCTAAAAGTACAACTCCCACCTAGAGAGGTTAACTATATCCATGAAAACATAGGAAATAAGTAATCTCAGGCCAGCAAATCAAAAGAAGGGAAACACACACATACATACACACACACATATACACAGATGTACACACCATCACTATCACCACCAATCAACAAGACAGACAGACCTTTATTCAACGTAACTAAAAGGCAGAGATGAAATATCTGAATTAACAAAGAGAAAAGAAAAGAGGGACTGGAGAGATGGCTCAGAGGTTAAAAGTGCTAACAACTCTTCCAGAAGTCCTGAGTTTAATTTCCAGCAACCACATGGTGGCACACAACTATTTCTAATGAG